CCTTGAAGAATGACATCTCCAAGTATAGGGGAGTCGAAGAGGACTCCCTCTTGAGATGGTTCGTCGAATTGGATGACGCCATAAGGGCGCGTCGCATCGACGACGGGGATATGCAAGTTGCATTTGACCAGTCAAATCTGGCAGGACGTGCCAAGACTTGGGCACTGGGGCTCAAGTTGCATGACCCATATGCGTTTGGGTCGTTAGAAGTCTTCAAGTCGCGGCTCAGACAAACATTTGAACAGCCAAGAGCTGAGTTCAGAGCTCGAACTAAACTCTTGAAGCTCAGACAAGGTAAGCGTGATGTGCACGCTTACGCGCAACATATACGACATCTCACGAGTTTTATAAGTTCCAATCCGGTGGATAAAAACAAGTTGGTTTCGGTGTTCATGCAGGGTCTTGCGGATGGTCCCACTCAAGACTCACCTGTTCCGAATTGAACTAGATTCACTAGAACAAGTCATTTACATTGCGGAACAGGAAGACTTCAGTCTGAGACAGGCTCGCGCCAGCTCGACATCATATCGTCCATCGAGACGATATGACAACGGAGGTCCAGAGCCGATGGAACTCTGTTATGTAGAGAGCGAGAAAGCTCGCTCTACAGGCTACAAGAAGTTGCAGAGATGCAACAGATGTCAAAAGACAGGACACTACGCTTACGAGTGTAGTGCTTCTCATCCAGTGTCTCGCAACACTGGGCGTAATGACCGTCCACCCATGAGAAAGGGGCAGGGACGCGGTTCCGCTGTTGGTGCAAAGACGCAACAACGGGATGGACCGTCAAAAAACGGACAGGATAAGTAGGTGCGGAGCATCCTACTGGTCCAGCAACGTCAAGAGCATTTGTAGCCTCTTGATGAAGGTTGCCCCCAACACACAAACGTTGTGCGTTGCTGCTCTAGGTAATGAGATCTCACTCATTACCTTGAAACTCGAGGTGACGAATAAGTTGTCCCTTCGAGCTCTAGTCGATTGTGGGGTGTCCAACAATTTTGTGCGACGCCAATCACTAGAAGATGGTCACTTTAAGTTCAGTGATTGTGACACACCTCCTACGAGGATGACGGTACGTCTTGCGACAGGCGCATCCGTAACCGTCATGAAGCGTATAGTGAAGATCTACTATACGCTAGAAGATACCCAATATGACGATGACTTTATCGTATTGGATCTGAATGACAAATTTGATGTCATCCTTGGAATACCGTGGCTCAGAAGGTACGAACCACGGGTAAACTGGCAACATCGAACAGTAACGATGCCTGCCGCTTGTTCATCAGATGGCCATCTGATGAACGTTTTGGAGCAACCACAAGCGTGTGGATGTACTACGAGTGAGTGCGATGGCCTCACTTGTGGTACGGTCGTTAGTACGACTGCACAAAACCTTAGTGTACCAAACGGTTACACTTCGGAGCAAAGTTCCGGCGGCTGTGAGGAAACACAGGCTGCGCCGAAGGTCCACCACTCGAATAAGTCGGGTGGACTGGGACAAAGATGTATCCCTAGCGGGGAACATCTAGAAGAGAAACAATCGATCGCTCAGGTTAAGCTAAACGATAATCCTAGATCGACTGGAGAGTCTTTCGTAGAGGATCTCGCTGTGGTTGCGCAACCCCAGCTAGAGGAAGTAAAGGGAATAAGTCCCAAGATTACAAATACGGCGGAAATAAGTTCCCCGAAACCCGCGGGAATAAGTCCCCGGGAAGCCAAAGGAATAAGTCCTTCGAGACCTGAGGGAATAAGTCCCCAGGAAATGACAGAGACATTGAATGTCATAGTCAATAACGGATCAAGTGTAGGCGCTTATACACTTGATCTGATTGCGCCTCAGAAGTTGACTTCGGAGATCACTCAGTTGCCAACGCTTGAACATAAAAGGTTCTTGCGTGATTTGCGCAGTGGCAAAGTCAAGCAGATCTGCGTACTCGTCGCTGACGACGAGTGTGTAGCCGACATAAGGTCAGCAACAGTGTTCACTGAGAACGAGAGAGTTCTCAGTAGTTCATCGATGGACGAGAGTGTCCTCGATGAAAAGACACGAGTTGAGCGATATGACTCCCAATCGTGGGAATCGCTCAAGACAAATCCTCTCCATGAAGATTTGGTTGAATTCAAGGATGTATTCCCTGAAACTGTTCCGTGCGAGTTACCGAAGGATAAAGGTACTCGGCACGAGGTCAAGCTTAAACCAGGCTCGAAGTACTGTGTCATGAAGCAGTGAACACTGCCTCGTGAACAAGTACTTGCGATCTACAAGTTCTTTGCCGATCGTTTAGCTGCGGGCCATGTGAGGGAATCAACTTCCCCACATAGCTCTCCGACCTTCTGTGTGCGAGAAGCAACAGGAGGGTGGCGGATAGTGCATGCATTTAACAAGTTGAATGCTGCAACGGTACCGGCTCAGACGCCGATACCGAGGAAGGACGTAATCATTGATGGTATGTCAAAGAGTACCATCTTTTCGTCCATGGATTTGTTGGATGGCTTCTATCAAGTCTTTGTGCGAGAACAGGATATACCCTATACCGCAGTGAGCACGCCTAGCGGCATGCTCTGTGAATGGCTAGTAATGCCACAAGGGCTTAGTAATGCCCCTGCCACGTTCAACAGATGTGTATCACATCTGTTGAGACCAGTACGAGAATTTGAGCTGAGTTATTTCGATGACGTATTCATCCATAGTCGGGCTATGGATGGAAAGTCGGACGTTGAGGTTCACAGATATTACGTCCTACAGGTTCTTACAATCATGCGAAAGCATCAATTGTATGCCAACCTCAAGAAGTGTATATTTGCAGCAAGCGAAATACCACTTCTTGGGTGCATCGTTAGTAAGAACGGTGTACGTCCGGATCCCGAAAAGATCAAGGCGATCACCGACTGGCCTGTGCCAGTCGACGTCAAAGGTCTTCGAAATTCCTTGGACTAGCGGCGTATTTGCACAAGTATTCACGCAATTACGCCGAGATGACTGTACACCTCTCTCGTTTGTTGAAAAAGAACGAGGGATGGTTATGGAACGCTGAATGTCAGCGCTCCTTTGAGGGTATCAAGCAGAGCTTGATACAATCCCCAGTCCTAGCAATAGCCGATCAGGACAGGCCATTTCATGTGGACTGTGATGCCAGCGATTTCGCAATCAGCTGTGCATTAATGCAGTACGACCTAGAAGGCGTTGAACGCGTCGTCTGCTATCAGTCGCGTCAGCTGCAACCAGCTGAGCGGAACTATCCAGTGCATGACAAGGAACTCCTTTCCATGAAGTATGCACTCGCGAAGTTCAGAGTCTATCTATTAGGAGATAGACCCTTCATTGTTTACACTGACCATGCGTCATTACGCACGGCAGTGAACAGCCCGCACCTTTCACAACGAATGGCGCGGTGGTTGTCATTCTTTGCAGAATGCAACTTTACGGTCAAGTACAAACCAGGACGACTTAATGTCGTCGCTGATGCACTCTCACGTCGTCCCGACTTTGAACCAGTCGTGAAACCCGACAGTGAGACAGCCACTGTTGCGGTTATGAAGTTCTCAGTACCATCTTCAACCTTGCATGATGATGTGAGGCGGGCGTACGACCAAGATAGTGAGATTGTGAAGTTGTTGCAACATCTCTCACAACCATCTCGAGAATCGTTGAAACGATTGTCGTCTGCGTATCGATCTGCATCAGATCGATACACTACTCGCAACGGGTTACTGTATTATACAGCCGTTTCTGGTGACACACCACGTGTTGTCATTCCAGATGATACTGATCTGCGTTTTCGGATCATGTTCGAGTATCACGATGCTCCTATAGGAGGACATCGTGGCCGAGAGAAAACATATCTCACGGTGAGTCGAGACTTTTACTGGCCCCGCCAGTATCAGTTTGTGCGAAAGTATGTTCGCGCATGCGAAGTATGTCAACGAGTGAAGTCAAGTCCTTCACTGCGTGCCTTTACAGCCTCTACCGGTTCCGGCTGAGTGCTGGGAATCCATCTCAATGGATTTCGTCTTTGGTTTACCCAAAGACGCACGCGGGAATACGAAAATTCTCGTGTTTGCTGACAGATTCAGCAAAATGGTACACCTTGTGGCTGTACCAGAGTCAATCACGGCAAGTGGCTGTGCTTGTGTCTTTATCGACATCATCTTTTGAGTTCATATGTTGCCCCGTGAACCCGTATCAGACAGAGATCCACGATTCACTGCTGATTTCTGGCGTTCCGTGTTCAAATCACTCGGAACGCGCTTGAAGATGTCGACATCTGATCATCCAGAGTCAGATGGTCAGACGGAACGAGCCGATCGTGTCCTCGTAGAGATACTTCGAGGATACGTACACTCTTTTAAGAGTTGGAGTGAGTTTTTGACAATGGTAGAGTTTGCCATTAACAACTCGGTGCATGCGTCCACGACACATACACCGTTTTACGTGAATGGCTTACGCCATCCGCGTGTACCCACCTTACTAGAGTGTAACTCTGGTTTAAGGGGGGGAGGGACTCGCGCGAGCAAAAACCGATTTGGTTCACGCTCATCATGCTCTGACGAAGAGGTCATTGCGTTTGATGCCGATATCGATAACATCGATATCGAAGAAGATGATGCCAGTGAGAGTGCGGAAGCCCTCACTGAAGAAAATGTTGATATCGCTGCAGTGCACTCACAGCGCACTGAAGCTAACGAGTCATCAGATGAGTTCATACTGGCTCGTGAAACGGTAGTCCGTTTTGTGCAAGACTCCATCGCCGAAGCGGTGGATAAGCAAAAGCAAAACGCTGACAAGAGTGGAAGGGCAAACACTCTTTTATTTAATAAAGGTGACTTAGTCCTACTGTCTACGGTTAATCTACCAAAGCATGTAGTGACTAACTTGGGTAGTAGTAAACTACTACCCAAGTACATCGGCCCATTTCGTGTATTGCACCGCCTAGGCAATGCATACACGATCGAGTTACCACGTAAGATGCGAACGCATCCCACGTTTTACGTTGGTCGGCTTAAGCCGTACCATCAGTACGATGCTTCTTCCGATGAAGAACGCCCTTGCACTCAAGCATATCGCAGAGAGCCTTGTGCTCCCGATGGTGGGCATCAACAAGGGTCTGAAGAGCAGCTATCTCATCCCGAGACCGATCAACAATCCCACGAGCTACCCTTAGCTCGTCACGAAGAGATGTCAGAGATCTCTCGTTCTCAAGCTGAGCAAAGGCAAACTCAGCTCGATGCTTCGAGGCAGTGTCCGCCATTTGGAGACGCCTATTCCGCTCATGTTCGAGATCGTCGCGTAACCCTTGCGTTACGCGATCAAAGAAGCTCTCGGGAACACACCGATCCCCATGATCGTGAGGAGAGCGTCTTTCCTCCTCCTCCACCTCCATTAGAGGACTCTCGCGGTGGCCAGCGCCATCTAGTTGAGCAGCTGTTGAACCACCGCGACGTGAACGGACGTCGGACGAGTTACCTCGTCCGGTGGCGCGGCTATCCCCCGTCCTGGGATTCTTGGGAGCCCCGCTCCCAACTGATGATCGACGTGCTGGGTCTGGTTGAGCAGTACGACGCGGCACATCCTGTGCCGCAGAAGGACCGCTGGAGAAAGTCTTCCCGGCACGGTCGTAAAGGGATTTCAGGTTGTCAATCCCTTTGTACATCTCAATAGAGATACGTACGCGCCACCACGGGCTATTAGGGAGGTAATCCTCCTTAGGTACTCGTGCAGAGTTGTTCACACAACATGGTCACGAGTCTCCCCAAGAGAGGCAGGGTAATCCCTTCTTCCTTGACAGACGATGCAGCTTGTAGCGTGCACCTGTCGGGGTTCTTTTCTCAAACTTATCACGAGCTTTGATAAGTTTGTCGTTCCAAGCGTCACGACCTACATCCTCAAGGTTATGGATGTAGGCGTTCCACGCCTGAAGCAGTGAGGGACCATCACGCTTGTGATTCCTACTGTACCATCGATGTCTAAAGAAAGCATCGATGAAGAATTCATGTTCAGCGCGATAGTTTTTCGCGCTGGGGTCAAGGTGATGGATCCTTGACGAATCGAACAATCGTGTTCGATAACGATCACTCGTCGTCGCCGACAAGTGATCCATGACTGATTTTGGAGGCGTCCATGCCTTCTTCTCGGAAGCGAGACGCAACACACTGTGGTCCCGCTCTTCTTGCGACGTGTCGACAGAAGTACTGGCACCTCGTAGCGAAGTGGTGTCAATAGGAGAACCGACACCACTGTGAGCGCCCGAGTCTTGCGACCTCGAGCGCCTACGCTTCGGCGATGGTTCATCTGGTTCATCAGATGAACCAAAGATGCTACGACGCGTAGCATCATCCATGCCACGCTTGGCAGGCGGCTTGGATTCAATCGCCGTCAATACGGATCCGTCTTCCGTATCAGGAGAGTACGAGACACCGAGCTCATACTCTGTGAAGACATGAGTGTCCTCAAGACCAGCGCCTGCATCACCAAGTGACACAGGCTGAGTCGCTTCAGCAACCGATGAGACATCAGTTGCTGTGGTTTCTGCTTCGGCGTCCGCACAGAGACGTGCGGACGCGCTCTCGGCGGCCTTGCTCGCGCATCGCATGGGCTTGTTAACCATGCGATAAAATGTTGGGAAGTGGACTCGGACCAACAAGTGCAAACCCCGTCCCAAATGATTTGGGACGAGAATCCATTTATTCACTAAAGTGACTGATGGTTAAGGGGGGGTGATGTAACGGGGTGAATCGTTACATAACAATTTATAAGAAATTGTTAATAGAATATAACTACAAGAGTTATATTCTCAGAATATTGTCATTAGGACAAATATATTCTGTAGCACTTACGAGTAGTTCCTAATTGGTTGATATAGGCCATTATATCAACCAACGAAGACGCGCCACGACAGACGCACGCAATGAGTGGTGAGCAGATATTTGATATACACATTTGTATTTGGACATAGTTAGATGAAGATAAATAGCGATTTATTGCAGACACTAACTATAATAAATCCAGTTCTACTTTTTACTTTAACCAAGTACTCGCTTCTTCTTACCGTCTTCCTCTGCACGTACGAGTGTACGTGAAGTTACGAGGCACCGCCTTATTCTGTCATCAAAATAAGTAGCTTGTACTGTCACCAGTACAAGCTTCAGGGTGCCCCGTTACAAGTTCGATCCTCTGTATAGGGTCCAGGCTCTCTCTTTGCCCTTATCACTGCCAGCAGTATTGCACGACTCATTCCGATGGTTATTGCGGTCTGCGCTCCGTCAGAGCCAGTGACATACCGCTTTCTTTCCTGTACTCGTGCTTTGGATGTACAGTCTCTCAACCCCATGTGTTGCTGCTGCTCGATCAGCAGTACTTTTGAAATTGCCCGACCTTGCCGCACTTATGGCACTTGCGCGTCTCCTTCCGCTTCACTGGCACATCGATATGTGCCGCTACGGCTTTTTGACCGATTAACGTGACTGCCTTGTCGATGGATTGCGCAAAATGCGCGAGAGCCTCGGCGTGCTGGACATGGTTAATTAAATTTGGGTCGTACTTAAACTAGAGCACGATCGCAAGCTCTGCTGACGCATGGTGGACGACGTTGTCAACCACGAGCTCGCCCGCGTCACCTCTCGCGTTGTCGCCGCCACCAGATAGAAGAAGAGCTCAGGCCACGCGCGCTTCGAATCTTTCTGCTGCGCGAACAACTCTATGGCTTGTGCAGCAGTGGTTAAAGTCTTGAAAATGGCAAGCATCCGTCTGATTCTCGCAGTCGAACGTCGGCTGATCGAGATGTTGGAAGTGTAGTTGTCATAGCGGACACTCCCTTCCGGGTTAACTCCTTTGATGCTTGGTAGTTATAGTGAGTGATACTTGTGGTCACAATAAGCTCTGTAAGGTTTATAGTTCGTTTGAATGCATAGGACGCATAGAGATCTCACTTCTAGATTGGATAAGTCACTGACAAGGCACCGGCGGGGGATCGAAACGCGTTTGGCGCGCGTCTTAATATAGAAGTCGTTAACAATGCTCTCTATCTTTTCAACACGAGCCACCACGTATCAACTTGCTTGTGATAATAGCGCTCGGCGGTGCCTGTCAGATAGTGTCCGAGCAGCTTGACTTTAATGTCCTCTATCCACAGCAATCCGCACGCCGCTTGCGTCATGTTGACCTGGAGGAAGAACATGCGTTTCTAGTCGTATAACCCCGAGTCTATTCCGCGCTAGAGCTCAGAGCTAGCAAAGTTGCGCACTGCCATCTTCCGCTGCCGCGCGTCCAGCGTCCTAACGTGCATCCAATAATTCTTATACATCAATGGCTGCGCTGTGACGCATACCGCGCCACACACACCAGCGGTGAGTTCCTCGGCCTTCACTGGCATATGCGCTGTCGCAGCTGCTGGTGCAATTGCACGCATTCTGTAACGGGGTGAATCGTTACATAACAATTTATAAGAAATTGTTAATAGAATATAACTATAAGAGTTATATTCTCAGAATATTGTCATAAGGACAATATTCTGTAGCACTTCCAAGTAGTTCCTAATTGGTTGATATAGGCCATTATATCAACCAACGAAGACGCGCCACGACAGACGCACGCAATGAGTGGTGAGCAGATAACTGATTTACACATTTGTATTTAGACATAGTTAGATGAAGATAAATAGTGATTTATTGCAGACATTAACTATTATAAATACAGTTCTACTTTTTACTCTAACCGAGTACTCGCTTCTTCTTACCGTCTTCCTCTGCACGTACGAGTGTACGTGAAGTTACGAGGCACCGCCTTATTCTGTTATCAGAATAAGTAGCTTGTACTGTCACCAGTACAAGCTTCAGGGTGCCCCGTTACACCTGGTAGCACTTCGTAGTCCGTCCAAGGACCGCGTTCACATCCAACATGAATATGTTGGATGATGAAGATGACCAAAGCTTTCACGCTACGCGTGACGGCTACTCCCATTTGAGCGATGTCGAATGGGATGCGGTTGAACGAATGGGTTCGACCATGGGCATCCATGCTGTTAGCGTCATGCTAGAGGCTCTCAATAGAGATGCCCAACATGCTACTATCGCCAAGTTCATTCAAAATGAACTTGACGCCGAACGCGAGAAAGTAGCCTTGCTTCACCAACAAGGTTCTCAACAAGCAGAGTTGTTGAGAGAACAAGGTGCTCAACAGTTTGAACTGTTGAGACAGCAGCAAGCTGCTGCTGGCGGGTCGATGCACTCGCGTCGGCCCGAGACTTTGAAGATTGACATCTCAAAGTATAGAGGGGTCGAAGAAGACTCCCTCTTGAGATGGTTCGTCGAATTGGATGACGCCATAAGGGCGCGTCGCATCGACGACGGGGATATGCAAGTTGCATTTGCCCAGTCAAATCTGGCAGGACGTGCCAAGACTTGGGCACTGGGGCTCAAGCTGCATGACCCATATGCGTTTGGGTCGTTGGAAGTCTTCAAGTCGCGGCTCAGACAAACGTTTGAACCGCCTAGAGCTGAGTTCAGAGCTCGAACCGAACTCTTGAAGCTCAAGCAGGGTAAGCGTGATGTGCACGCTTACGCTCAACATATACGACATCTCACGAGTTGTATAAGTTCCAATCCGGTGGATGAACACACGTTGGTTTCGGTGTTCATGCAGGGTCTTGCGGATGGTCCCGTCAAGACTCACCTGTTCCGGCTTGAACTAGATTCACTAGAACAAGCCATTTCCATTGCGGATCAGGAAGACTTCAGTCTGAGACAGGCTCGCGCCAGCTCGACATCATATCGTCAACCGAGACGATATGACAACGGAGGTCCAGAGCCGATGGAACTCTGTTATGTAGAGAGCGAGAAGGTTCGCTCTACAGGCTACAAGAAGTTGCAGAGATGCAACAGATGTCAGAAGACAGGACACTACGCTTACGAGTGTAGTGCCCCTCGTCCAGTGTCTCGCGACACTGGGCGTAGTGACCGTCCACCCATGAGAAAGGGGCAGGGACGAGGGTCCGCAGTTGGTGCAAAGACGCAACAACGGGATGGACCGTCAAAAAACGGACAGGATCAGTTGGTGCGGAGCACCCTACTGATCCAGCAACGTCAAGAGAATTTGTAGGCCTCTTGATGAAGGTTGCTCCCAACACACAGACATTGTGCGTTGCTGCTCTAGGTAATGAGATCTCACTCATTACCTTGAAACTCGAAGTGACGAATAAGTTGTCCCTTCGAGCTCTAGTCGATTGTGGGGCGTCCAACAATTTTGTGCGACGCCAATCGCTAGAAGATGGTCACTTTAAATTCAGTGAATGTGACACACCTCCTACGAGGATGACGGTACGTCTTGCGACAGGCGCATCCGTAACCGTCATGAAGCGTATAGTGAAGATTCACTATACGCTAGAAGATACCCAATATGACGATGACTTTATCGTATTGGATTTGGATGACAAATTTGATGTCATCCTTGGAATACCGTGGCTCAGAAGGTACGAACCACGGGTAAACTGGCAACATCGGACAGTAACGATGCCTGCCGCTTGTTCATCAGATGGCCATCTGATGAACGTTTTGGAGCGTCCACAAGCGTGTGGATGTACTACGAGTGAGTGCGATGGCCTCACTTGTGGTACGGTCGTTAGTACGACTGCACAAAACCTTAGTGTACCAAACGGTTACACTTCGGAGCAAAGTTCCGGCGGCTGTGAGGAAACACAGGCTGCGCCGAAGGTCCACCACTCGAATAAGTCGGGTGGACTGGGACAAAGATGTATCCCTAGAGGGGAACATCTAGAAGAGAAACAATCGATCGCTCAGGTTAAGCTAAACGATAATCCTAGATCGACTGGAGAGTCTTTCGTAGAGGATCTCGCTGTGGTTGCGCAACCCCAGCTAGAGGAAGTAAAGGGAATAAGTCCCAAGATTACAAATACGGCGGAAATAAGTTCCCCGAAACCCGCGGGAATAAGTCCCCGGGAAGACGAAGGAATAAGTCCTTCGAAGCCTGAGGGAATAAGTCCCCAGGAAATGACAGAGACATTGAATGTCATAGTCAATAACGGATCATGTGTAGGCGCTTATACACTTGATCTGATTGCGCCTCCGAAGTTAACTTCGGAGATCACTCAGTTGCCAACGCTCGAACATAAAAGGTTCTTGCGTGATCTGCGTACTGGCAAAGTCAAGCAGATCTGCATACTCGTCGCTGACGACGAGTATGTAACCGACATAAGGTCAGCAACAGTGTTTACTGAGAACGAGAGAGTTCTCAGTAGTTCATCTATGGACGAGAGTGTCCTAGATGAAAAGACACGAATTGAGCGATATGAGTCCCAATCATGGGAATCGCTCAAGGAAAATCCTCTCTATGAAGATTTGGTTGAATTCAAGGATGTATTCCCTGAAACTGTTCCGTGCGAATTACCGAAGGATAAAGGTATTCGACACGAAGTCGAGCTTAAACCAGGCTCGAAGTACTGTGTCATGAAGCAGTGGCCACTGCCTCGTGAACAAGTACTTGCGATCGACAAGTTCTTTGCCGATCGTTTAGCAGCGGGCCATGTGAGGGAATCAACTTCCCCACATAGCTCTCCGACCTTCTGTGTGCGAAAAGCAACAGGAGGGTGGCGGATAGTGCACGCGTTCAACAAATTGAACGCTGCAACGGTACCGGCTCAGACGCCGATACCGAGGAAGGACGTAATCATTGATGGTATGTCAAAGAGTACCATCTTTTCGTCCATGGATTTGATGGATGGCTTCTATCAAGTCTTTGTGCGAGAACAGGATATACCCTATACCGCAGTTAGCACGCCTAGCGGCATGCTCTGGGAATGGCTAGTAATGCCACAAGGGCTCAGTAATGCCCCTGCCACGTTCAACAGGTGTGTATCACATCTGTTGAGGCCAGTACGAGAATTCGCGCCGAGTTATTTCGATGACGTATTCATCCATAGTCGAGCTATGGATGGAAAGTCGGACGTTGAGGTTCACAAGTACCACGTCCGACAAGTTCTTACAATCATGCGAAAGCATCAATTGTATGCAAACCTCAAGAAGTGTATATTTGCAGCAAGCGAAATACCACTTCTTGGGTGCATCGTTAGTAAGAACGGTGTACGTCCTGATCCCGAAAAGATCAAGGCGATCACCGACTGGCCTGTGCCGGTTGATGTCAAAGGTCTTCGAAAATTCCTTGGGCTAGCGGCGTATTTGCATAAGTATTCACGCAATTACGCCGAGATGACTGTACACCTCTCTCGTTTGTTGAAAAAGAACGAGAGGTGGTTATGGAATGCTGAATGTCAGCGCTCCTTTGAGGGTATCAAGCAGAGCTTGATACAATCCCCAGTCCTAGCAATAGCCGATCAGGACAGGCCATTTCATGTGGTCTGTGATGCCAGCGATTTCGCAATCGGCTGTGCATTAATGCAGTACGACCTTGAAGGCGTTGAACGCGTCGTCTGCTATCAGTCGCGTCAGCTGCAACCAGCTGAGCGGAACTATCCAGTGCATGACAAGGAACTCCTTGCCATGAAGTATGCACTCGCGAAGTTCAGAGTCTATCTATTAGGAGATAGACCCTTCGTTGTTTACACTGACCATGCGTCCTTACGCACGGCAGTGAACAGCCCGCACCTTTCACAACGAATGGCGCGGTGGTTGTCATTCTTTGCAGAATACAACTTTACGGTCGAGTACAAACCAGGACGACTTAATGTCGTCGCTGATGCACTCTCACGTCGTCCCGACTTTGAAACAGTCGCGAAACCCAACAGTGAGACAGTCACTGTTGCGGTTATGACGTCCTCAGTTCCATCTACAACGTTGTATGATGATGTGAGGCGGGCATACGCCCAAGATGGTGAGATTGTGAAGTTGTTGTCACATCTCTCCCAACCATCTCGAGAATCGTTGAAACGATTGTCGTCTGCGTATCGATCTGCATCAGATCGATACACTACTCGTAACGGTTTACTGTATTATACAGCCGTTTCTGGTGACACACCACGTGTTGTCATTCCAGATGATACTGATCTGCGTTTGCGGATCATGTTCGAGTATCACGATGCTCCTATAGGAGGACATCGTGGCCGAGAGAAAACATATCTCACGGTAAGTCGAGACTTTTACTGGCCCCGCCAGTATCAGTTTGTGCGAAAGTATGTTCGCGCATGCGAAGTTCTGCCAACGAGTGAAGTCAAGTCCTTCACTGCGTGCACCTTTACAGCCTCTACCGGTTCCGGCTGAGTGCTGGGAATCCATCTCAATGGATTTCGTCTTCGGGTTACCCAAAGACGCACGCGGGAATACGGGTATTCTCGTATTTGTTGACAGATTCAGCAAAATGGTACACCTTGTGGCTGTACCAGAGACAATCACGGCAAGTGGCTGTGCTTGTGTCTTTATTGACACCATCTTCCGACTTCAT